TCGATTTTCTTGATTTTGACAAATTTAGTCTATTAAAATCTGTTACCTCAAAAAAATCGATTAAAATCGATGGAAAAGATAATAATAGATTAAAATCGGTTAAGACATACCAATCGATTCGCAGGTCACCATAGATTATAATGGATAAATATATAAGTAATAGATTAGAACTGAATAAAGCAATTCAAGACACGAGAAAAGGAGGGATAAATATACTAAGAATTGAAACCGATCAATAATCACAAAGAAATTGATTTTTGTAGATTTTCCAAACTCAATCGATTTTAATCAATTCTTTTCGGATTAAAAGTCGATTAGAATCAGATTTTTTTCGTTATTTTGTAGATGGAGAGACCTCAAATCTCGAAAAAATTTTTCTCAAAGAAAAGATTACCTTAGTGTCTTTAATGAAAATAACATGTCTTATAACTATAAAACTCGATTTTTGCAGATATCATAGGCAAACGCTGACATATAAATCAATAATTCGCAGCAAAAATTATTGAAACTTGAGGGTCTATCTAGCGGTGCTTAATTTTTGGAGTTCAAAAGGTATGTTTTTGACTTAACACTTAAGAAAAAAAAATTGCTTTGCGCCTGCGAGTTTCGTTTTGAAAAACAAAGTGAAGTTCTCAAAACGTTTTTTGCAATATTCTTACTACTTTCAGTTTGTATTTGTAAATATATTTTGTTCTTTTTGTAACTTAAAAAATGTTTTTTCATTGGAATTAGAGAAGTTTTGATGACAGGGCGCGACATCTCCTTGCGGTTAGAACTTTTTATTCTTATCCACGTGAAAATATTTTTCCAGAAATATAATTTTTTCTTAGTAGGAAAAGTTTTTTACGATACATAACACCATCTTGTTTTGATTCAACTGACCCTGCTGAATTTTCTGTTTGATAAACGTAGCGCTTATTTAAAACACAATATGCTGAGAATACTAATCAATTTTTCTCTCTAAGAGATCAGAAAAGTGAGTTCGAAATTCATTAGAGCTTCTGTGAGGAAACTGAACGTAAAAATTTGCTCAAAAGTTTTTCGACTAGATGACTAGACTCATTCATCTTGAAAACTCTTTGTCGAGGTTTTACTCACCTTGAGGTTCAGGCCCATTAATTTTTTCAACTTTTGCATTTATGTTGTCGACCCTGGTTATCAGATCATTTATCTTGCCTTCCTGTTGATTCTTAGTTGTGCTCGGTGAATCATCCTTCTTCTTAATATTATACTAAAGAAAAAAAACATATCCACGAATATAAAATGTCAGCCCTGTCAACGAAACTATATGTTCAGGCATACACACACACCTTATCACGTATTTTCTGTCTTGCTTCTTCACGTTCTTTTTCGATTTTAGCTTGTCGGGCTTTACGATCTCTTTCGTTAGCTGCTTGACGGTTCTGTTCAGCCTAGGAATGGAAAATGGAAAGGAGGGTCTGAGATCAGTCTAGCAACTATTATAAATGCTTTGCTTACGATCTGTTCTTCATCAGAAATGCCGTTGAGTTCATTCTCGTCGACCTTGTCACTTCCACTGAACTCTAAAAGACGAGAAAAAAGAATTCAGATCATTCACTTTCAAGAATCTCTTTCAGTTCACCTTTGATCACTTTATCAAACTCATTTCCAACAAACGTTTTCATAAAATACGAAGACATTTTGAATTACAAGTTTGTTTCGTCTTTCTTTCTTGCAAATTGCGATAAATATGGAGTGTGTAATATGAGTATGTGTGATATGCACATGGAGTTTCTTTTTCCTTCGTTCGTTCCTGCTGTGTAGAAGTAAGAGAAAGGCAAAAAAAGTCATTGAGGCATGTTATTTTCTTTTCTCCGTTTCTTTTGCTTTTTTTATTGACACGTTAGATTGTATGATGATGAATAAGCAAGTAGTAGAAGAAAGCATTCTTCACTGTGAATCAGACAAGATTCTTGTATTCGACGGATCTATCTGTCTATCTTGTGTGTGGATGGTTATGTAAATAAATGAAAGACTCACACTTATACCCACTCGCAGTGGGATTATGTTTCCTATATTGTTTTGGTTGGTCCTATATTGAATTATATATCAAGCTTTTTCTTATATTCCTATATTTTTTCGAAAAAACAAAGATTCTTTCGAAAGAAGTCACATATTCTTTGAAAACGTGTCTTGTGCGTTGTGCAAATATTGTTACTGCTATGCTTGCCATAATATAGGGTACTCCACTGTTTTTCGAATAACTCAATAACACAATAAGCTGCCAATGCACTGTTTTCTCCAATTGATAGAGAACTTCAGGAGGCATAACTTTATAAAAGCACTAATAACCAATGGAACTTTGAAGGTACTGCATTTTCTAGATCTTGCAAAAGTTCAGCTATAAGAATACAACATTCCAATAGTTGTTTAATTCTTGTATCATGGATAGGTAGGGATAAGCATCTTCTAGCAATCTATATAAGTTCGATTTTGATAAATATTGTGGTTCAAGAGCCGTATCACTTTTGGGTGTGGGTTTGAATGTGGAGTGGGCATGGATGTAGAGTGTGAGTGTGGATGTGCTTGCAGATGTGGATACGTGTGAGTGTAGGTATCTATCTTTTCAACACTCATCCGCACTCGCTTCGTATATAGCTGTTGAAGTAAGGGTGTGAATGTGCGGGTGGATAACACGAAGAGCCTTACACTTACATCCCCATAACGTTGTTGCGTTTTGCTATGGATTAATATCAGATAAGCAGTCATATGAAGTCTATTCAAGCAAAGAAATAATATTAATTTATTGATTCGAGTTTGTGTGCAGGTGTAAATAGATACAAACAGCGTGTGATAATTTTCGTTCGCCCTTCTGTGGAAAGATGAATAACTAATGTGCATTTTCGTTTTCTCATTTGATCTACAATATTTATGAATTAAATAAATATGTAAATCAAGATCTTCAAGATTCGAATGCCATATTTACGTCTACTCATATCTCAATCGTTTGAAGTGTAGTTTCTACCCATAAGTCACAACTCACAATCAAAGCTCATCTTAAGCTTAGTGTGTGTTGAAGATTTCCGTTTAAAATTCGACGATTTTCGGTCTTGTCCTAGCATATAATGGGTACTAAACTACAAGAAATGTGCTTCATATTAATACTTTCGACCTTGATCTTCGACAGTGCACTTGGAGACTGTACAGTAGTAACAGCAAGCAATGTTACATATACGATGTTCTCGAACAATGCTGCACTAGATGCTTTTTGGATCCTTGATTCGAACGGCAACTTGATGGCATGTAACTTTTACAGTTGCTGGAAAGTGACCAATATGTTGGATGTCAAGCCTCGATGAAGTTCGATCCTTTTTATCCTATCATGACGGTATAGCTACTGTCGTTTTGCTACATGTTACCACTTGCTTGTGCTTATTTCAACATGATTCTGACAGTTCGGTACATTTGAGTGTGAAATAAAGTAATCGAGATATGAGACTTAAATATCATCCGAAGGTTTCAGATGAACAAGGGTGTGGATGTGCGGATATGGTTGGAGAGAAGACGGACTCACAGTCTGAACCACCGACACCCACTACCACAGTCATAGTCACAACCATACCTTTATAATTCACACTCACACACCCACA